AATTTCACATTAATATATCTTTAAGTTTCATGTCGTATAATTTTTTAAACAGAATTATTTACCTTTGAAAGCTTTGGCAGATCATGCGTAGGATATTCCTTGATCATTCTCACTGTGCTTCTTTCACTTTTTAATCCACATATAACTTTATTTATTTCCACCAAGTAGTTCTGACTCCACCATTTTAATACTACATGCGGAGGAAGTTTTTCATTTATTATATTACCCATTGAAAACGTTTTCAACTCGATTATTTCAAAAGTTTTGCCAATAAGCGTATCTGTTATAGGCTGTTGCGAAGAAATACCATCTATTTCTGCTCCATATAATAACGAATGATTGCCAAAGTTTGCTTTAAACATACAGTGAAATGCACTCATTGACAGGTACTGATGATAGATCTGGTTTATGTGATGGATGATCTAATAAAACATGTATAATTTAATTAGATTAATTACATAAATTCAACAAGCAATCAATTTTATCTTACTGTATATATATTATGAAATACCTGCTACCATATATTGCTCAAATTTAAATCCCCATGAAGTAACTTGTTTTTCTAACATTTTTTCGTTGACCCAACGATGTTCTTTTTCATCTGTATAAAATTCGCATAAATATATTGTACCACGGTATTTACTGGCACAAATAATCCATTCATCAAATTTCTGGGGACTATACAATATTGTTTTCATTGTCCCTCGAGAACTAATAAAATCGATATCCAACCTAATTAATGTTACCTCTGATTAGGTAAAAATGAGTACTAAAAGTAGATATATTGTTAATAATAATAAATAATAAAATTGCAGAAATAAATTGATTAAACATATAATGTGTACAAAATGTACATATGCTATCTACACAGAATTTTCTACGTTATAGAATATAAATAGAATATTATATATATTTTAATGTCACTGCGTGACATTAAAAGTTTTATACTTAAATGATAACAATTTTTATGAACATACCAACGTTCTTCCTGTGCTGATAATGGCTTTTCAATTCGATGAAAATTATCGGCAATCCACCTCAAAATATTATCCAGTTTAATATACGAAGTAGGCTTGTGACGTGTAGACATATAATTTATGTTGAGATCAAAATTCACGTTGTCAGGATCCGAAGGGGGAATATAATACTTTAGTTGCGATAAATCGGCATGATATTGCGAATCACCATCGATACTAAAATATCCGATTAATTTCGTGCTTAAAGTTGGAACCGTGTGGCAAAAAATATTTGCAAAATCAATCTTAAACATCGTGACTCCTTAATTATCTCTACGGTAGAAAGTACAAAATTTTGTTGTACAAGAACGAAAATGTTCACTCGTTCACATGACGATTCGCGATACTGCTTGATATTTCCGCGATTTCCGCTGATAGCCACTCGCGGATATCACAAATCACAAAGTCTGTTGCCTATACTCTTTATACGAATCTTTGCTTTCTCTTCTTTCGCCAACGCCCAATATACTTCTCGTTCTTAAGGGTCGACAGGAGTAAGAGTGGAGACCTTTGTCGGCCGGTCGGGAATTACGGATTCGCTTTTCCCAAAGTTTAGCCTAATTAATTAACGAATCTCATTTTACTTATGCTTGTTTTAATCAGTAAGATCAGCCGCAAGCTGGTACAGAGCCGGATTTTGGAAAAAGGATCGAAATAAAATTTATAATAAATGTGGGGAAACGCGCAGCTAGACACGGGTCAGGTTGGGTCAGCTGCGAGTCCGTATTTTATTTATAATAAATTTTTAACCAGGACATAAGTTTTAAAGAATGTTCGGTCACATTGTTGTTTGTTTATAACTCTGCTCGTCCCGACAATCCGCACAGTCATCTGACATCCGCGAAACGAGAAAAAGCACTACATAGCACATTTTACGTCCTGATGAATACATGTAAGTTTCAACGGTTTTATACTCGCGACAACCATCTCAGTTATACACGATCTTTACAGATAAAACCTTTTTATATTCTGACCACACATTCTGAGAACAATTATAGACCGGACCCGATTTATTCTCGCCTCCGAACGAAGAATCAATTACGTAATTTTCGCTGACTACATGTTTAAAGTTGGAAGAGTAAAGAGAGAGAGAGAGATTGTTATTCTTTTTTGCGTCGATTGTAATACCATAGGTTGCCGCGCATTCCACGCAGTTCTCGGAAAAAAGCGCGCGAGCGGCGCCGACAACGTTGCGTCCCAGGCGGCGAAGAGCGTGTTTACCGCGCATGCTCAAGCATGTTAGGAGGGGCGCGCAGCCCGGCCGAGCGAGCATTCGTTTCCTAGATTGCGTGCACGATGCTTCGTGCTCTGTTGCGAAAGATCGAGATTATTGCGTCATATTGTTGGTGTCGCGTATCTCAGTTTTTGAATTGTCTATCCGTGTTTCATATTGTGATTAATTATACTCAATATTTATTCAACGAAATATACTTGACACTGCGAACATTACCGAGAGGAATCCAGGGATATCCGTCCCGGCGAGCCACGCCGGCACGTGGACCGAAGGAAGGCAGCCATTTGCTACAACGTTCGAGAGAACTGTTGCGACAGGAATTACGAGCCCTTTCGAATTCTGAAGGAAGGAAGCCATTTTCAGTAACATTCGAGACACCGTCTTTTTGATTTGATCATTACCATTTCCAACAAGAACTGTAATCAAATTCGTAATTATCAGGTACCGCCTTTTATTAGTACGAGAGAGAGACAGTTAGACCCCGTCTAACATTACAAAGAATCCCCGATTCTTTTTCCATTAGACCCCGTCTAATGCTTCAAAAGTAATCCCCGATTATTTAATCTTGCATCCATCTTACATATTCAGTTATATTGCAACATTAAGCTCAGTGTAAAGTAAAATCAGTTATTGTTCGGTTGCAACCAAGTTTCGTGAACTGTAAAAGACAAACTTTATTACGTATTTATGATGTATTATATTACCTTGCGAACATTTTCTCTATTTCTTTTAAAATAAGTATTCAATGAAATTGCGTTCTATGCGAGACATAATTCTTCTCTTGCGTTATTATTAAATTCATTTCTGTTCGTTTCTGTGAGCATTAATTTCCTTGATTTAATGATTATTCTACTAAGTATTGTGTTAACTCTGACTGATCAAATATTTCGTTTCTGCTATTCTGAATTAATGTGTCGATTCAAACAATAAGCTTTGTGAATACTATCTATTGAGAAACTCTTATACATTATAATTTTGTATCGAATATCGGATGTTACTAAAAGAAAATTATTAGCTTTATAGAAGATGTCGATATATGATAAACTTTAACAAGTTAAAGCGAAATAGGCTATAATTACGACTCACAGATTGATACATTGATTCAATACCTATATTACTTATGTTTGAATTTATATGCTGATTGATTTGATTTCTTTGTTGAACAGTCCTATCCTGAAATTACATGTTCCCTTTTTAAGTTGACTACGTTAACATAAACTCTGAGATTAAGTACTATAAAATATTTCCTTTATGAGTAAACTGATTATATATAGAAACAAAGCTTCTGTGAATTTCACTTTCATTTAGTCATCGATACCAGGAAAGGACTGTACTATAATAATTATTGATTTGTTTACGTTGCGTATTTTATTCATTTATTGTATTCTCATTATATTCTGTATAATTTATGTAATAACCTGTTCACGAATACTGGGAAGGTTTTCGGGCAGTTTCCCTTCTCCGAAGCAACGAATGTTGGTATTCTTTGCCTAGTTCTGCCCATTCGAGTCATATTAAAATACTGAATTTATTAAATGCAATCTCTCTCTCAACCACATCGGATTCTTAATTATTTGTTTCTTCCTCATCTAAATCTAGAGTTCAGGCTTGTGCGCGAGCTTGTGCAAACACTACATTTCATCTCTGACTTTGACTACATTTCATTTTGACTTCGTAGATGTATCGACATAGACTCACAGTATGTATTCGTTAGACAATCGAATGGTGATGTGACTCGATAGGCTTAAGTATTTTATAATGTTATTGTAACACGACGAACTCTACATGTTAATTTAATTACTACGGCTGAAGAAGACTCAGTGAAGTCGAAACGTTCCGTCCAATGTATATATACCTATTAATTACATGTTTTTAAACATCTTTTAATGCTCGTTTATTGGCCTTGTTTTTTCTATTTAATTTTTAATTTATACGAGCGTAGTTACTTTTTATTTATTTAAAGGAAGCTATTTGTTGTAAAAAACATGAAAAAAGTATTTTCAAATTAAAAAAAAAATTAAAATTAATAGTAACTAATATTGTTTTATCTGTGTTAAGCTCTCTCTCTATTGTGAGAGTTTTCAGGATGGTAAATTTGAAAAAAAATTTTTAAAATTTATAACAATCTTAAAAGACTATATATGATAATATAATTATATGTAAAATAGATTGCGTGCCATGCGTTTGTAATGTTACATTTCTAGATATTTATGTAATTAGTTATAGTATTTTCTACATTGAGAATGACCAGATGTTAGTCTGTAGCTTTTATAGCTTTTATTTATTTTCTTTTATGTTTGTATTAAAATAGAGTTAAATAAAGAAATAAATTAGAGTTAACATCCTTTAGTTCATTATGGCTGCTTCTATGATTATCCGAATGATTTTACGTCGCCTCGTCTTTTTCATGACAAACCGATTGAGCAAGAAATCTCCCCAAATTACGAAATCGTTTGTTATGTCGCGTTTTCAGGGCAAGTCAAGAAATTATTACACTTCGTTACAAAGTTTTATGTATTTATTATCAATAGATAAATGTGGCAAGAATCGCGATGCAAGCGCGTCGCAGCACGAGGTGGATAAGAGTGTCAACGCTATAATTAATATTGCACGCGGCAACGAAATAGAAGCGATAAGCTCGCTTTTGTCAGGCGAAGGTCGCATAAACCGTCGCGGCTGTCGATTTTGCCACCGCGGCATGCTCACCGAGCTCGCTTTTTCATCAAGAAAGTAGGTTAATGCGATAATTCCCGTCGCGAGGATAAAGCTGACTCCCGAGTAAGAAAAAGTACCGTTGCAGATACGCGCTTATCATTCTGCTAATAACCTAAAAAGTAATTCCGCGTTCGGGAAATATTGCGTTATAACATTGCCTTGAAGCGAGGTGACCGTTGATCTTTACGCGACTCAGCTCGTTCCAAACTCGCTACCGTTTTTGCACTTCTGTCTAGTGCTGAGACTGTGCGGATAGCCGAATATATTCGAATATACAAATAAAATCCTATAAATTCTGGATATTCGGGAAAACTATAAAATCGTATTAAGTACAGGAATAGGAAATTTATAAAAAATAATTAATTTTTTTTACATTTATTTTCGGCTTATTACAAAAATAAATCAAAATTCAAATGTGTTAACATTAATCTATAATGCCAACAGATTATTATTATATATATTATTTTTTTATTATATATTCTCGCATAATTCTTCTTGGGGTGAAATTTAACCCTAAACAGAGAGTGAACATACTGATTCAAAAGAGTAAATTCAAACTCTCCATAACGAGTAAAAATTCAATCCAATAATTTCCAATATTCAAAGATTATTCCTTTATTATTTTTCTCTTTTGAATATCTGGATATTCAAAAAATATTATAATTCGGATTATTCTCCCAGTACTATCCGTCCAGTTCTATCAGTGATTCTATTTAATAAATAAGCATCGACGATACGAGATTAGTGTGTCATATTCATAAATAGACACCAATGCGATCTTTGTCCGTCAATTACTCCATTCCCTTGTAAGAATATAGGGAATGAATGTCATGATTGTTTTTACCTCGCCTTTGGCTCCTCGCGCTGAAGCGAGGGAGACACGTTATCTCTCTATCTCTCTCCTCAGTCAAATAGACTTATATATATAAGAGAGAAAGATACCAGATAGCAGTAAGGTAAACGTCCCAGTAGCCAACCATGTCCCAGTTCCCAACCACTAAGGGGAATATTCCACTTAATTAAGAGATTTTTCGATAAAAATAAATAAATAACCACTTAATTGAGTTCTACGATTTATAATCTATGCATAGAACAACGGTTAAAATAATCCTTGCGCTCTTTGTAGTAATTTTTTCGAGTTTCTTGAGAGTGCACGCGCTGCCCCGGGAAACGAAGCGCATGTGTAAGCTAGTTTGTTAAGAATTGACAAAGTACAATTGTAACTATTGTCGCCTTCATTTTATATATATATTGAACAAGTTATAGCTTTTTATATTAAGGAAGATGTAGAGAATGCAAACCTAGGGTCGAAATTTAGTTAAAATTGCCGATAAATTGTTAATTTGCATGGTTGGGTACTCGGACGTTTCAACCGTATGGTGTACCAATAGCAAACCAAGTGGCTGGATACTGGTACAACCAGGCGATCGGATAATGTCTTAATTGTCGGACGCGTGTATCAATAGCGAACCAAGTGGCTGGATACTGGTGCAACCAGGCGATCGGATGATGTCCCAATTGCCGGACGCAACGAACTCAGCGACCATAACTTTGATGAAAATTAACACGAACGATCAGCATTGACGCGCGGCATTGTTTACTAGTGTGCTTAAAGTGTGTTTAAAATTACGCTAAACTAAGGCGATTATTCGCAGTAAGTATGATATCTGACATTTTACAAATTTGGCTTCGTCGAACGAGTTCGTTATTGCTATTATGTAGTCAGCAGATTGTTTACATTGGAAAAGTCTTGAACGTAACCTCTCGAATCGCGAATTAAAAACTTGTCTCTGCTTTCATCTGCGACTGGTTGGTAACAGGGACATCGAGTGGCCCGAGTGGCCGGATATCGGGACATAACCAAAAACTGATGGTCGGGTACTGGGACATTTTCTCGCATTTTCCGAAAAAATCAAATTAACTATTACCGATGGAACTAATTATTGGATGGTTTCCAGAAACGTGTGTAAATTCGTATTTGAGACTTATAAACTTCTCATAGAACATCAGATGTATTATAACAAAAACCATACATTGAAATGTACACTGTGCAAGGATAAAAAATTTCATGGATTGTACAGTTTTAATCATTATATTAAACTTGTACATTATTCAGAAGAGAATCCAAGCTTTCGTTTCGTCGTATCCGCTTATAAATAAGACTTGTTAATATATATAAAAATTAAATTTCTATTTTCCAGGCGTCTTAAAGGGTCCGCTACTGGGACGTTTACCTTACTTATCAAATGCTTTTAAAAAAACGTTCGGCTGCGCTCTCTGAATGAGGCGCTCTCTGATAAGCATGTCGAGTGGAGCAGAATAAGGAGCCAAATAAAAGAAATCCAAGTTGATATAAATTCTCAAAACATAAAAATTAACCAATCAAAAAGCTGCAGCGATACAGCATAAAAGTGAATACTGATTTAAAAAATAAATATTGATAAAAAAAACTAAAAACATAGTTTCCCACTGTCCTAGATTAATATCGTCTTGAAAGGGTTAACGAGCGTTTCTAGGACGAGTGAAAAAAGAGGGCGGAAAAAGGGGGAGAGATCTCAACCGGAGTTCAGATTGTTATTCTCGATAATATACGATGTTTTAATGATACTACCGCCGATCTGCATGATAAATCGATTTCTGAGACGGTCGACAAATTCCGTTTCAAAACGCGGCCAAGGGACGTTATATAACGTTCAATTAATCTCGCATGACTATATCCGTGTCGCGGATAACGTAATTAATTAATAACTGAGTGAAGAGCTATTTCGACAAGTCGTAACTCTTGCTTATATATTAGCGAAAATTGAAATGCGACTTTAACTAACGACGTTCTCGATTGAATATTCACGGATCTGGTAAATTAAGCTCTCGAAGGTTGAATTGGCCAGAAGACATGACGTTTCGGGGTGTTTCAAATAAGTATTACCTTGTAAGCGAAATAAGCAAAATATTATTTGAAACTTTAGCAAATACGAATGCTTATTACGACGAATTAGATAAATTATACGTCGACCAGAAAAATATTATTCAATATGTTAAGAATCAAACTAGTGTTATACTTAAAACATTAAGTACTAATAAAAAAATTAGCACGATTGCTTCAAATTCAATAAATTATATAAACGAACAATTAACTAGTCTTAAAAATATATCGCAAATTAATAAAGGAAATATTTGAGAAAATTTTTAAAAGATTTTTTTTTCTCAGTGTGGTGGTTGAAAAATGGCGAAACCAAAAGAAAAGCATCGGGTTCCGCCAAGGACGCCGGATGCTGAACCGTCGAAGGTCACCCCCGTGAGTAATTTACATTACTCTTCCAAACCTTGCAGCGACAAATAGCAATCTCGTTCATCATGCCGTGGCGCGGTATTTATTCAATAAAAATTGATTACTAATTTATCTTCTATAACGCATCAATTTTTCCCTAATCTTTCATAATTTGTTTAAGCGTCTTCTCGACTATGCTAAACAACGAAATGTCGGAAAATCGAACAAATTGCATAAAAATACAAGACATGGATTTTCAAACCGTAAAGAAAATGTTGCATCACTTAAAAAATGGCGACATTTACATACACGTGGACAATTACAACATTTAGTAAAAGTGTCACAAACATAATGAAAAAATTAGTGACAAGAAAACTTGCATTAATATGCACAGCACAAAAAAAAATTGATGCCAAAATTGTTCTAAAAGAAACTCCGATCTGCGACTGCATTATTGGTAAGAAAAAATACAAATTTTCTCTATATTACTATTAACAGTAATTATTCTATGTTAATTTAGAAATAAAGAGTTTTATACATAATAATTGATATGTTGTTATATGTTGTGTAGATGTTGTTGTAAACATTATTGAGAAGCATGGAAAATGTATTACCCAAAAAGAAATATATTCAGCTATAGGCATTACTTTAAGGGGTAACGCCACCCTTGAGACCCAAAAGTTATATCTAAATTTGGGAATTTTTTGTGGGAATTTTGTGTAAATTCGTATTTGAGACTTATAAACTTCTCATAGAACATCAGATGTATTATAACAAAACTGCTTACGAACTCAAATTGACAAAAAAAATTGAATACAAAAGCCAAGATGATTTAAAAGATTACAAAACTTTTATTACACATTTATTTGAGGCTAAAATTTATGTAGCAAAAAATGTTTTTTTATATATATTATATATTAATTACTTATAATAATTTGTTAATTTTTCTATGTGTATTTCTTAACCCTTCGTGTGTAACGTCGGGTCACTCGTGCCCTGGTGAAAGTGACTGTCCCCTGTAGCTCGAAGGGAGGGGGGGAGGGCGGGACCAAACTATACTGAAAAAAATTGTATGCTACTAAGCTACTAGCTCCCCAAGCACCGACGGTCTAGTGCGTA